GCACTTTGGGAGGCCGAGGCGGGTGGATCACGAGGTCAAGAGATCAAGACCATCCTGGTCAACATGGTGAAACCCCGTCTCTACTAAAAATACCAAAAATTAGCTGGGCATGGTGGCACGTGCCTGTAATCCCAGCTACTCGGGAGGCTGAGGCAGGAGAATTGCCTGAACCCAGGAGGCGGAGGTTGCGGTGAGCCGAGATCGTGCCATTGCACTCCAGCCTGGGTAACAAGAGCGAAACTCCATCTCAAAAAAAAAAAAAAAAAAAAGGATGTCCACTGAAGCCTCATTTGGAGTTGAGAAAACTTGGAAACAACTCGAATGCTGTTCAGCAGAGGACAGGTTAAACAAATCATAGCACGGCTGAACAGTGGAGCCTTAAGTAGCGAATGGCATATGTCTCTATGTATGAACATGGCAAAATATTCATAATACAGTAAGTGGGAAAAACCAGTTACAGGATGGCACGGGTATGATAATCTTGTTTCCATAAAAACTAAAAATATACCTATGTCTGCATGTGAATGGAAAAATACGAGTGGATGTATATTAATTTGTGACCAGAGTTTGTCAGTGGGACTTGGGATTATAGGATACTTTCTGTACAGTTCAGTAGGGCTTTTTTTGTTTGTTTGTTTGTTTGTTTTTTTAAGACAGAGTCTTGCTCTGCCACCCAGGCTGGAATGCAATGGTGCGATCTCGGTTCACTGCAACCTCCGCCTCTTGGGTTCAAGAGATTCTCCTGCCTCAGCCTCCCAAGTAGCTGGGATTACAGGCACTTGCCACCACGCCTGGATAACTTTTGTATTTTTAGTACAGACGGGGTTTCACCATGTTGGCCAGGCTGGTCTTGAACTCCTGACCTCTGGTGATCCGCCTGCCTTGGCTTCCCAAGGTGCTGGGATTACAGGCATGAGCCACCATGCCTGGCCTGAGTTAATTGTTTCTAATAGATGTATTAGTAAAAGAAAAATATCCAGAAAATAGTTAAAGGTCTAATATTTAATTATGATAAATACGGGAACCATCTGTCCTTTATCCTTAAAAAACCCTGATTAGTGTCCCTGTATTGTGTCACAGTTATAATGCATCCTTCATCATGCTACTGTCCCAGTGAAAACTGAACATCTCTTATATTAGCCCTCTGCTCCATCCTGGCTAATTTACTGTCCACAACTCACAGAGTACTGTCTCCGCTCTGCACAACCACAGAATGGGCATGATAACCTCTCCATGGCATTTATGGTTTCCACAAATCACAAATCACATAAGAAGGGCTCCAAGAATATTAGAGGAATGAGCGAGTGAACTCAGCACCCGTTGGGGGGCTGGCAACTCCTCAGGAAAGCCGGATATCTTCAAGCTGGCCACCAACATTCTGTAGCCTCTCCGTGAGCAGGGTGGGAGCTGTGCTCAGTGCACAGTGCCATGTCCAGAGGTTGATGTGAGGGGCACGTTCTAGATCAAGTGCCTCAGAAGGGCTTAGGAGACCTGGATCCCTAGACCGCTATGGAACTGTGTGTAACTTTCCCTTTCTAGATTTGTTTCCTCCTCTGTAGGTAAGAGTAAGTCTTGGTCAGTGTTTCTTAAAGCAGTCTCCTTCGAAAACTACATCTGGGCTATGTTATGACTGTCCCCGAAGAGGCTTCTATGGTCAAATGCACTTGGGAAATGCTGCTCTCTGCATCATGCTCTTGGAGATTCCCAGTGCGTGTTAGGTTAGAGTCTCTGAGGTCTGCCAGTAAATAAACGTACTTATTGATGCTTATACTAGCAATTCTCATGTTTATTGCACTTTGGCATCCTTTAAAATATTGTTTTCCAAGCATCTTGGTGTTGCACTGAATTCAGTGTTATCCACGGTCACTTCTCGCTCCCTGAGTCCATGACTGCGATGAGTCAGCCTCCATGCCGCCCCCTCCATGCGGTCTGGCCATCGTCCGGCAGTGTTCCTGGGGCTGAATGCCGAGTATTTCAGGTGACCCCTGGAAAAACGAAGCTCTGTTTTGTGAGAGAGAAAGGGTCAGCCTCTCGGTACAGGTCCCGATGGAATGGAACGAAGGAGAGGTAGCCTGCAGACGAAGGAGAGGGGAGGGGAGTATAAAGGGGCTTGAACGCAGCCAGAAGCACCCAGAAGGGGTGCTGCAGTTGGGAGCACTAAGTAGGAATAACAGGTAGGGACAGTAATAAGCAGGAAACTACAGAGGAGTAATTTTCATCAAACGTCTATTGAAAACAGAGAGGAGGGCAAATGGTCAGAGGGAAAGGAGAGTTCTTGGCACCTGTGTGTTTCACTATCTTTCCTGTGGCTGTAGCTCATTGCTCCCTCGGATTTAAATACCAAATTTATGTTGATGGCTTCCATGTTTGAATATAATCTTTTGAGGAAGAGCCTGGGCTTTAGAGTCATACAGCCCATGCCTCAGTTTCTTCCTCTATAACATGGGGTTAACCACAAGATTTACCTGCTTGGTGTGTGTATGAGGATTAAATGAGTTGACACATATGAAAGCTCCTAGAATCACACTAGCTCATAGAACTAGTGCATAGTAAGCACTCATAAATGACATGATCATGATCAATTATTAGTCACATTTTCAGCCCTCAGCCCTCTCTGGCTTGACATCTCCACTCAGATGTCTCCAGGGCATCTCAGGCTTAACAAAACTGAATCAGAATTCTTGACTTTCCCAACAGTACCCCACCTTTCCCAGCCTCCCTGTTTCAGTGAATGGCATCTGATATATCTGTAGCCCAAGTCAGGAACCTGACGGTCAGGTGTGGTCCTGCTCTTCCCTTCCCTTTCATATGCAACCCACCAGGAACTTCTGCAGAGCCGAAGACTCCACCTCCAAAGTACTTTTCAAGTCCATCTACTTCTTCCCACATCCCTCTCTCCTCTAGCCAAGCATCCCTTTTATCTGAGTGAAGGCAGCAGCCTCTGGGTGCCTCCCTGCTTTTCCTCTTGCTCCGTTCCAGGGAATCTGTCCTGTGGCCACAGCCTTCTGTAACAAATATACCTGTGACCATCCTAAGTCACTGCAGGGGCACAGAAAAAGAAGCCCATAGCTGCAGACCTCGGCTCGCTTTTGGTGTCCATTGGCATGAAATATCTTTTTCCACTCTTTTGCTTTAAGTTTATGTTAGTCCTTATGTGTTAGGTGAGTCTCCTGAAGGCAGCAGACAGTTGGTTGGTGAGTTCTTACCCACCCTGCAGTTCAGTTCTGTAACTTTTAAGTGAAGCTTTTAGGCCATTTACATTTGTTAGTATTGAAATGTGAGGTACCATTACATTCATCATGCTTTTTGTTGCCTGCGTATTTTGTGTGTGTATGTGTTTTGTTTTTTGCTTTTAGCTTGTATTTTTGTTTTACAAGTCCTGTGTGATTTATGCTTTAAAGACATCCTGTTTTGACGTGTTTCTAGGATTCATTTCAAGACTTACAGCTCCTTTTAACAGTTCTTGTAGTGGTGGCTTGGTAATGATGAATTCTCTCAGCATTTGTTTGTCTGTAAACAACTGTATCTTTCCTTCATATATGATTGCTGGATACCAAATTCTTGGCTGATAGTTGATTTGTTTGAGGAGCTAGAAGACAGGGCCCTAATCCTTTCTAGCTTATAGGGTTTCTGCTGAGATATCTGCTGTTAATCTGATAGGTTTCCCCATATAGTTACCTGGTGCTTCTGTCTCACAGCTCTTAAGAGTCTTTCCTTCATCTTCACTTTGGATAACCTGATGATAACGTGCCTAGGCAAAAATCTTTTTTGCAATGAATTTCCCAGGTATTCTTTGTGCTTCTTGTGTTTGGATGTCTAGGTCTCTAGCTAGGCTGCAGAAGTTTTTCTTGATTATTCCCCCAAATATGTTTTCCAAGCTTTTAGAATTCTCTTCTTCCTCAGAAACACTGATTATTCTTAGGTTTGGTCATTTAACATAATCACAGACTTCCTGGAGGCTTTGCTCATATTTTCTTATTCTTTTTTCTATGTCTTTGTTGGATTGGGTTAATTCGAAAACCTTGTTTTTGAGGCCTGAATTTCTTTCCTCTACTTATTCTAATCTATTGCTGAGACTTTCCAGAGCACACATTTCTAAAAATGTGTCCAAAGTTACGTGAATTTTTTATTGTTTTTCTCTTTAAGCTATCTATTTGATTCAATATTTCTCTTATTCAATATTGGGCTTGTCTGTTCAGGAGAGGAGGGTCTCCCTTTCTCAATTCCGCAGTTGGGGCACAGTATTTGGGGTGTCTCCTGGATTCTGCAGGAGCAGTCCACTTCCTTCAGAGGATCTGAGGGTCCTCCCAGGATTGCTGGTTTGTTCTTTCAGTTGATCTGGAGCTAAAATTCACCCTGGAAGCCTTCGGATGCTGCTCTGTCTGGAGCTGCAATCTAGTCCTGCCTCCCATCTGCCATGATCTCCTGCATCTTTCTGTCTGCTTTAGTCAGGTAAGCCCAAAGCTAGAACAAAAGGCCCATACATGAGCCTATGGATCTGCCTTCAGACACTTGAGAAAGCCTCCAACTCACCGTGAGAGAACCGACCCCAGTCAGGATCTTTGCTTTACTCCAACAGCCTCAGGCCCAGCAATTAGTGGACTTGGTGGGATGGCTGTCCTCAAAGCAGCCAGCATTTTTATCAGGCTGGTGTCTGGTCCTCTATTTTTCTGAGATATTCAGAGTCTCCTGACATTTATCTTCATTTAATTGTGAATTTTAAAAATGACTGAGTGGATGTAGGTATAGAGGTAGCTATACATACAGACATAGATAGATATAGATAGACATTTTGGAGAAGAGAGTCCCTTTGAAGACTACATCTCAGAGTACAAGTCCATGGTTACAACCATTTCGTTTCTCAGCAAACATGGGGAAGTCTGCTTTTCCTCTCTGGGGAAGTTAACATAAATGTTTATTGATAGCACAGTCATCAAGGAATAAAGTTGCTGATTCATTGCTTTACACTGAAACCCTTTGTTATGCCCTCCTCTTCCTTCCTCTTTATAAGGAGAGATACTCTGAGAAAGAGGACATTGTGGGGACCCACTCCCCGTGATGTTTTCTTGGTTGCCTGTTCCCTTTTCTACCCACAGAAGCACGGTTCCCACAAGGGCAGCAGGATCAGCCTCCTCTCTCATCTGGAAGACCACCACTGTGGGGTCTCAGAGGAATGATGGAAGCCTTGGGATTCCTAAAATTGGAAGTGAATGGCCCCATGGTGACAGTGGCCCTGTCAGTGGTTCTCTTGGCCCTCCTGAAGTGGTAAGTGCAGCCAGCCCTAGGGACTGTGACAGCTTCAGCAGCGTCAGCCCTGGAGCCTTGCTGGTGCCATGGTGGGGTATGTGGGAGTGTGTTTTTCTTCTTTTCTAATCTGGCGGGAGTTGAGTATTAACACAGCTTCAGAATTAAAAGCAAACAGCCAGGTTAATCTTTTGCTAAAATGCATGAGATTGAAGTGTCAGGAAAGGCTGGTGATTCAGTGAGTGAGAACGCTACACATAATTAAGTTTGAAAGAGATGGAAAAAGAAACAAATTGGAAAGGCATTAGGTTTGGGGAGAAGTATTTCCTCATACCCCGTCATATCTCCTCACCTCATTTTTCTAAAATCCTCTGTCCTTGTTGGATTTACAGTGAATTCAGCCTCTTGGTTCATATTACATGCAAAACAAAACAAGACCTAGGAGCTGTTTGGCAAATGTGGGTCTCTTTGCGGGAAGTCATTGACGGGGATTTCTGTAGGTTTAAGGACAAAGCAGTAGATCTAATTTCTTAATTTTCTCATCTTTGATAGAGGGAGATGGATTCTGATGAACATAGTGTGTGCAGCTCCTACAAAAATTGAGACCCTGAAAGGATCTGAGACTTGAACTCCGAGTGCTCCCCTGTGGTTTTGTTAATTCAATAGCAGATTTTTCCTAAGCCTGACTCTGGTGTCTGTAGATTGAAGGCCTCGCAATATGCTACATTTATGCATATTCATCCTGTCAGTTAAACTTATTAGAGTTACCCATTCAATCAAAAGCACCTGGATTTAGATGGCTTTGGCTTTTGAGGGGAAAGTGGAAAAAATAATGGAGAACTTGAGTCCGAGCAGAATTTTAATTTATGTTTTCGGTAATAATAAAGCCTCCTCTAGATTAATAACTGGGAAAGCACTTTGAAAAGCATCAAGCATTATGCAAATGTGAGGTATTATTCTTTTGGAATTTGCATAGCTGAGAGTGGAATTCACGTTTGATGTTCTATGATGATGAAATTACTTCTTGGAAATTGGCTCTGAAACCCAGCCTTAGTCCCAGTGCTGTTTTTCTTTTTAACTGATTAAATTATTTTTTTAAGAAATTTGCTATCTCATTGTAGCTTATTTTGGATTGAAACTGGTCACATGCAAAACCAAGAGCAAATGGTAGCCCCTTCCCTGCCCCCAACCCCCAATAATCCATTTCAATGTGTTTTTATGCTCCGGGAAACCCAAAGCACAGTGTCTGACATGCAGAAAGCGCTTAGTCAGTGTCAGCCACTGTAATTAACTATCATCTGTGTAACCTAAAAGAAAATAAGTCATCAGTAGTTTCGGTTTATTTTTAATTTCTTACTAATGTGCTTATTCATAGTAATCGCATCAATAGCTGTGCTCTGTGACTGTGGTTCACAAAGTGGACACTTTTCTACACTTTTGTTTCAGTCTCTATTGTGTGTGAGCTCCCAGCACAGCACCTGGCATGTAGGAATGCCACACTATTCAGCAGGGCAGCCGTATGTTTGCTCTCTATTCTTGGGCCATATTAAGCAACCTAGTTCAAAGATGCAGAGATTAAGATAAATGCACCCAGACGAGGTGGTAGATAGGAAGAGACAGCTGACTTCTATTTGTTATCACAAAAATATTTATTGACGTGTTAATGTGTGCCTGGTCTTGGGGAGGCCTAGTACAAGGTCAGGGAGTGGGAGATCTGGAGCAGGTGCCCAAGGCAGGGGAGAGACACAAAGATGCTGGGGGTGAGCTCGATGTCTTGAGAGGATACTGCAGGAGGAGCGGAGGCAGCAGGAGAGAGGTTGGTGGCAGCCCTGGCTCTGGTGCTCTTGGGTTCATTCCTCGATGCAGTGCAAGGGGAACCACCCTTGGGCCCTCGACCCTTCAGTTCCAGGTGAGACTCTAGTCAGCCACAAAGCAACATCCACCAGCTCGAATGAGGCAAGGCCCCCTCCTGCTTCATTCTCTTGAGAGGATATGTGTGGAAGAGACAGGACTGCTTTTCCTCCAGTGAGAGAATTCACAGGCAAGGAAAGATGCAGGTGTAGAGACACTTGCAGGAGAAACTGCCAGAGGGAGTGGGTTAAACACTGCAGCACATTAGTCCTAGTTTAAGTGCTATGTGTGCCATCAAGCCAGGTAAGATGGCAGTGGAGAGCCTAAACCCTGAGAATGTGAATTCAAAGGGGCTGAGTGTGGTGGCTCACACCTGTAATCTCAGCACTTTGGGAGGCTGAGGGGAGTAGATCACTTGAGCTCGGAAGTTCGAGACCAGCCTGGCCAACATGGTGAAACTCCATCTCTACTAACAATATAAAAAATTGCTGGGCATGGCGGCAGGTGCCAGTAATCCCAGGATTACAGGAGAATCACTTGAACCCAGGAGGCTGAAGCTGTAGTGATGTCAGATCATGCCACTGCACTCCAGCCTGAGTGACAGAGAAAGACTCTGTCTCAAAACAAAAACAAAAACCAAACAACAACAACAACAGAAAAAAAAAAAAAAACCAGAAGAATGGGGGGGATCATGGTGGACAGGAGGCAGGACTAGAAAGAGCAGCATCTGGAAGCTTGCATTGTGAGTTTTAGTTCCAGTTAGACTGCAAGAACAAACCCAAGGGAACCCACAGACCCTCTGAAGAAAGCCGACTGCTCCTGCAGGACCCAGGAGACAGCCCGAATACTGCAACTGCCCCAACTACGGAAGTGAGAAAGGGAGACCCTCCTCTTCCAACACACTCCCCCAATATTGAATGGGAGAAATTTTCAATGAAATAGCTTAAAGAAAAAGCAATAGAAATTTCAGGAAATTTTGGGCACACTTTTAGAAATGTGAAATGCTCTGGAAAGTCTCAGCAACAGAACTGAACAAGTAGAAGAAAGAAATTCAGAGCTCGAAGACAAGGTCTTTGAATTAACCCAATCCAACAGAGACAAAGAAAGAATAAGAAATATGAACAGAGCCTCCAAGAAGTCTGAGATTAAGTTAAATGGCCAAACCTAAAAATGATCAGTGTTCCTGAGGAAGAGAATTCTAAAAGCTTGGAAAACGTACTTGGGGAAATAATAGAGGAAAATTTTCCCAGCCTAGCTAGAGACTTAGACATCCAAATACAAGAGGCACAAAGAACACCTGGGAAATTCATTGTGAAAGATCTTTGCCTAAGCACACTGTCATCAGGTTATCCAAAGTTAAGATGAAGGAAGTGTCTTAAGAGCTGTGAGACATAAGCACCAGGCAACTTATAAAAGAAAACCTAGCAGATTTCTCAGCAGAAACCCTATAAGCTAGAAAGGATTGGAGCCTGTCTTCTGGCTCAAACAAAACAATTTTCAGTCAAGAGTTCTGTGTCCAGCAAAATTAAGCATCATATATGAAGAAAAGATATAGTCTTTTCAAATAAATGCTGAGAGAATTTGCCATTAAGAAGCCACCACTACAAGAACTGCTAAAATTAGCTCTAAATCTTGAAACAAAGCTTGGAAACACATCAAAAAGAACCTCTTTAAAGCATATATCACACAGGACCTACAGAACAAAAATAGAGGCAAAAAAGCAAAAGCAAAAAACAACAAAAATCCAAAGTACACAGGCAACAGAGCAGGATGAATGCAATGATGCCTCCGTTGCAATACTAACATTGAATGTAAACGGCCTAAAGGCGCCACTGAAAAGATACAGAACTGCAGAATGAATAAGAACTCACCTACCAACTACCTGCTGCCCTCAGGAGACTCACCTAACACCTAAGAGCTCACATACACTTAAAGGGATGGAAAAAGGCATTCCTTGCAAATGGACACCAAAAGTGAGCAGCTAGCAGTGGCAGCTATTCTTATATCAGACAAAGCAAACCATAAAGTAACAGTGGTTAAAAGAAACAAAGAGGGCCCGGGTGCGGTGGTTCATGCCTGTAATCCCAGCACTTGGGAGGTCAAAGTAGGTGGGTCACAAGGTCAGGAGTTCAAACCAGCCTGGCCAACATAGTGAAACGCTGTCTCTACTAAAAAAAAAAAAAAAAAAAAAAAAAAAAAAAAAAAAATTAGCCAGGCACATTGAGGGGAGGGGGGGTGCCTGTATTTCTAGCTACTTTGGAGGCTGAGGCAGGAGAATTGCTTGAACCTGAGAGACAGAGGTTGCCGTGAGCTGAGATCACACCACTGCACTCCAGCCTGGGTGACACAGCAAGACTCTGTCTCAAAAAAAAAAAAAAAAAAAAAAAAAAAAAAAAAGGGACATTATATAATGGTAAAAGGCCCTGTCCAACAGTAAAATATCACAATCCTAAACATATATCCATTTAACACTGGAGGTCCCAAATTTATAAAACAGTTAACTAATAAACCTAAGGAATCAGATAGACAGCAACACAATAATAGTGGCAGACTTTAATACTCCACCGACCACACTAGACAGGTTATCAAGACAGAAAGTCGCAAAAAAAACAATGGATTTAAACTATACCTTGGAACAAATGGACTTAACAGATATATACAGCATATTTCATCCAACAACCACAGAATACCCTGAACAGAACAATAGCAAGCAGTGAGATTGAAGTGTCGGCGTAGATGTGGAGATCAGGGAACACTTCTGCCCTACTGGTGGGAATGTAAACTCGTACAGCCACTATGGAAAACAGTGTGGAGATTCCGCAAAGAACTAAGAGTAGAACTACCTACCATTTGACCCAGCACTCCCCCTACTGGGTATCTACCCAGAGAAAAAGATATCATTATTTGAAAAAGATACTTGCCCGTGCATATTCATAGCGGCACAATTCACAATTGCAAAATCGTGGAACCAACCCAAATGCCCATCAGTCTATGAGTGGATAAAGAAACCGCGGTATGTGTATACCACGGAAAACTATGCAGCCACAAAAAGGACTGAATTAACAGCATTTGCAGTGACCTGGATGAGTTGGAGACTATTATTCTAAGTGAAGTAATTCAGGAACGGAAAATCAAACATTGTATGTTCTCACTGATGTGTGGGATCTAAG